ATTTTATTTATGTTCCATGGCCCTAAGCTTGGAAAATTGATGACTTTAAACTAGATACTAGAGACAACATCCTACATGTGAAACAAATTGGTTGTTTCGAGGAAACGAGTGTATGTATATGTGCTGTAGAGGCAGCCAATAACTAGGTCCCAGTTGTATGTATAATTGATGCATCCAAAATCTATGGTGGAAATACAGTAGCAGCTGCACGTTCTCTATTTTTAACCTAATTAATTGTACCATGTCTAAGAAACAACTACTGTTGCTGTCTTTTGCTTTTTCTCTTAATTCTTTCTTGGTTGCTGCCATTTTTCCGATTCGAGGGACACCATATTTGGCAGGCTTGGAGAATCCCAACGAATGTTCAATCTCTAAATCTTGGGTTTATGAATCCATAAAAATTGTGAAAATTATGGACGTAGACTCAATACAAGATTTGTATCTATTCTAAAATCAATTGGTAATAAGTGAAATAGCCTTTTTTGTATTTAATCCATAAATTTTTTTATTTTACACTTGATGTGAGATTTTTCCATTGAACACACCCCTTTACGTGTAGGTCCATTATGAATGTCGGATCCTATCACGTGGCTTACCACGCCTTTTTATATGCGGATCCAATATTAACTTCAATTTTGAGTGCTGCCAGGTGGGCTAACAAATGAACTTCTCATGATAGAATCAGGATTCTAATACCATGTGAGAATTGTGCATGTGAACTCAATACAAGACTTGGATCCAACCTAAAACTAATAAAATTGTGCATGTAGGTTCAATATAAGGTTTGCATCCAACTTAAAACCAATTGGCAATATGTGCAGTGACCTTTTTTATATTTAACTCACAAACTTTTTACTTTTATACTTGATGTAAGATTTTCCCACTCAATACACCCTCTCATGGTGGGCCCACTATGAATGTCGGGTCCTATCACGTGGCTTAATACGGCCCTTTACTTGCAAGCCCAGTATCAACTTCGGATCCTATCAAGTAGGCTAGCAATGGGCTTTCCAAAACAGAATCTAAGATTTGATAGCATGTGAAAATTGTGCATGTAAGTTCAATATAAGATTTGCATCCAACCTAAAACCAATTGGCAATAGATGGAGCAGCCTTCATTTGATTTAATCCACAGGCTTTTTTGTTTTACATTCGATGTGAGATTTTTTCACTCAACACAAATAATATTATAAATATATTTTTAAATAAAATTAATTATACGATAATACATTATAATTTTATGTTGGAACTTAAATATTTTAGTAAAAATAAAATAATGTATTTTATAAATTAAATTTATTGTTTCATTAAGGACTTGATCAAACTAGCCGTTGTAGGTTAATTATCCTACTTAAGAGCATATTACTACATAATAATTGCCCAATTTATTCTTATCATTAACTTACAAATAGGAGTTAAAAGACCATAAGTCCTATAAATAGGACATGTCTAGTTGCTTTAAAAAGAGAGTTCCTCGACGTTCTTCTATTTTCCTTTACTTTTTCTTCTAAATATTCTTTGGTAAAAAAGAATGTTTTGAGTTTGGTGACTCTATAGCTAATGCAGATTCATAAAGTATAATTATAAAGTTGTAGCATTATCGGGGCGACATGCTATATATATTTCTGCTGCACCGGTTGTTCTATTCTTTACAGAGGCATGAATCGCCTTAAAGTAAGTAAGCTTTTTACGTCTATTTCAATAATATTTTCTTATCGATATTTCTTAATAGGTTCACTAATTATTATTTTATTTGATCTTGTGATTGAAGTACAACAATGACATGATGTGGAGATGGAGGAGAGTGTTCAAGGAACAACAATTTTAAGATGATTCAATATGCAAATCAAAAGTGAAATATATGAGGCATTGTGTAAGCAAAATAGAAAATTGTGATATAAGTTCTTGGTATAAATCTACTTTAAAAAAAAAAATTGAGGATATCGTACAATACTTTTTTTACTTTTTTACTTTTGCTGTTGAGTAATGCATGCAAATATATGATCTTTTTGCTACTACTGTAGTCCTTAATTTATGAGAAACTTTCAATTGCTTAAATTTTTTTTTTTTTAAAAAAAAGGGAAAACCTGGCATGTGAAATTATTATACCATAATGATAGCTACAGTCCTTTAAGGAGTTGTGTTTGTTGCTAGTAAATTTCAACATGAATGTGGTTATTACTTGGGTGTTTTTGACATGGTTGTTTATGGCTATTGTTAGCCTTAACAAAAATATATTTACTGTGTAATTTATTTTCAACAGTAAAAATTAATTAAATGTATTTATATGTAATCTTTCCCTTGGTTATTGCATGATTATGGACACATTAAAATGAAGTAATAATTAGTTTTCGATGCAATGCTAGTAATGTGATTTAACTCCAATGGCTAGTAAAATGCTAAGTGCATTGGTTATGCGGTTAAATGTAAAATATTGTTCCTAATCATATATTTTTTTAGTTGATTAGTTTTGCTCTTTAACAAATCTTTAGTGAATACTATGTTGTCTTACTCAATTAGGAACCATGGAAAATGGGTTTATGGAAAATTTTGAGAACCCAAGTGAAAAAAACTAAAGAAAAGAGTTACCCAATTTGGTCCATGCAGTTATTTTGAAAAAATGGACAAGAAATTTGGGTTGATGTATTCTAGAAACATAAGTTAAATTTTTAAGTTTACGTCATTGAGGAGTCATTTATGGTGATAAAATATGAGATAAGATAATATGTTCTTACAAAATTTTGTGAGTAAATGAGTTTCTTCATGAACTCAATTATTTGAGAAATGTGAAAATCATATATTTGAGATGTTCCTAATGTGGGGGATTGTTATGATATCCCTATGTATTGTTATTGGTGATGAGACCAATGGTGCCTAACTAAAATTTTGTATAGCATTCCTACTATACAATAAGATATAATAGTGCTTAACAAAGCAAATGTGATATGCACTCCTATTATATAATAAGGTATAATGGTGCTTAACAAAGTAAATGTGATATGCATTGCTATTATACAATTATGGTATAATGGTGTATGATGGAAAAAAAAGAATAAGGCATTTGAGAAAAGGGGTATGTGATGGACATTCCTATTGTACAACATGGTATAATGGTGTTTGAGCTAAAAAATTCTTAAATACATGTCTCTACATGTATGGAAAGAAAAGGGTGGTTCACTAGCTCGATTTGATATCAAAACTGTGGTACCATGAATTGAGAACTTGAGAAATATGAATGTGAATTTTATGAGCTAGCAGACATGTGGGTTGATGTGAAAAAGTGAGAAAAAGAACTAGTTGAATCTCCTTTTTCCCACTATACCACCAACTAGGCCTTGAGAAAAGTTGGAGGAAAATCTATACTCATAGTCCAAGGTCTAGTGCTTATCGAGGGGGATGGGATTCAAGCCCAATAATATATAACTTCCTATGAGGATACCCAACCCAAATTCTAAGAATTAGATTTTGAATGGGAAAAATGAATAATAGAGAAGTCATTGTTGAAAGATACATAAATATTTAATAGAAAAAATTTGTGGTCCCATTTCTAAGGTGAGAATACATCTATCCCATAACGAATTGAGAGTTGAGTTATATACTCTTAATGAAATTTATAACTTATAAAGTGAGGTGTCTTAGTTATGGGAGCACTATTGATAAATTTCACCTATGTGGGTGTCGAAGTGAGGTTGTTTTTATGAAAATTAGATGGCCAATTTTCTTAATTACCCATGAAAATCGGGATCATGCACAAGGCCATAATGCGCCAACTACGTGAAAAACTCAACATTCGGATCATTATGTGTGCAATACAGTTCTTGTATCTTCTAACAGGATCATAATTCAAGTCTTAGTTCACTATTAACTTTGGATTAAGAATTGTTGACTCACTAAATAAAGGTTCAAAGCTTAACTACTTTTATTATGCATAATAATCCATTTTTGCCCAAAAGAAAGGTTTATTTTTTATTAAAATAGTGGAGGAATTGTTGGAACTTAGATATTTTAATAAAAAATAAAATAATATATTTTATAAATTAAATTTATTGTCTCGTTAAGGATTTTGTCAAACTAGTCGTTGTAGATTAATTACTCTACTTAAGAGCACATTATTACATAATAATTACCAAATTTATTACTATCATTAATCTACAAATAAGAATTACAAGATCATAAGTCCTATAACTAGGACATGTCTATTTGCTTTAAAAAGAGAGTTGCTCCACGGTTTCATATTTTCTTTACCTTACTTTATCTTCTAAATATTATTGGGCAAAAAAGGATGTTTTGAATTTGATGACACTATGGATAGTGCAAATTCATAGAATGTAATTATAAAGTTATAGCATTCTGAAAGCAACATGCTATATATATCTCTACTGCACAAATTGTTCTACTCTTTACAGAGGCGTGAATCACCTTAAAATAAGTAAACTTTTCACATCTATTTCGATAATATTTTGTTATCGATATTTCTTGATAAGTTCACTAATTATTATTTTACTTGATTTTGTGATCAAAGCACAACAATGACATAACGTAGAGACGGAAGAGAGTATTCGAGGAACAACATTTTCTATGTAACTATATCATTATTCTCACTTATCAATCAGTACGTATCAGTCGATAACAGAACAAGCATGATGAAAAAGGAAAGAAAGCAACAAGATGACAGAACGATAGAATATATAATTAAGCTTGAAAAATGTGGTGCACATTGGATCTTACACATGCATGTATGCTCTGTACTCAATTCGACCCAAAAACAGGCTACCACTACGAACCATCCTATATCGTTTGTACTCGGTCGGACAAAAAGCTTTCTTCTGGGAATTCATGGCAATACTTTGGTGTGAAATATTGTTCATATGGTACATATTCAGTACTCGTTCTAGCACTGGTACAACTTTAGTACTGTTCGTATCGTGCCGAATGCCAGGTTGACGATTGCGAGAATCATACCAATCTCTCTCACAAAAAGGGGAAGCCCAAGTAGATAGCGGCTCAATGTCGGCAACGTTTATGGCCACACTTAAAGAGGGTTAAGATTACATAAATTTCTATATATTATTTTTTAAAATATTATCTCAATTTAATTTAATAGTTAGAGACAGTTAATAATGGTAACTATTAATTGATAAAAAAATAAAATTACTGATATTTAGTACTTAATAAATTTGATTATAAATTTGATTATAAATTGATATTGTTAAATACAATAATTTATTATTTATGAAAAAATAACTATATTTATTTGGCCAAAACACTTTCAAGTGTGACCAGCACCACCCCCATTTCTGCTGCAAATTTTACATGTGAAGTTAACTAATTGGACATTGACCAGTACCTCATCTAATTCAATATATTACATAAAATATTTATTAAAAAATTATTATTAATAATATAAAATTAAATATAAAAAAATTTAAATATGTAATTATGTATATAAGATGCATGAAGTAATTAAATTGATTATATTTATATTATATTTTAATAATTAAATTAAATAAATATTAAAATATGTATTAAACTAAAAAATATACCAATAAATTTCTTAATTATAAAGAAGGAGTGGCCCATATTATACCATGAACCTTTTTTCTTTTTAGCATATTGGAAGTGAACTATTTGACATTAATTTTATAAAAAAGTATTATGTAGTTTGCATTATATAATATAGATCATTGGATAGAAGTAGGTTTTTTAATATTGAGAGTTACTTTTTTTATTTAATAATTCATGTTTTGTAGTCTTAATTATAAAATAAAAAAATTTAATTTTAATTTTATGTAGTAAAAAGGTTAAACAAAAAAAGGAAGAACTCATCTCATGTGTGTACAACTTTATAATTTGGGAGAGAATTATTTTTTTATTAATATTTCGATATTCAATAACCATATTATATTTTAATTAATCTAAAATCAAATCACGTTAAATTTCATTAAACAAAAATTCGTTCGACATTCATTTTTCTATTTGTAATATTCAAATTCAAGATCTTATTTAAGAAAAATTAAATTTTTTTCACTCAAAATGAATAAGTTTCTTTGGTTCTAAAAGAGAATACTAGATGTACTAAAAGGAATAATTGCCTTCGTGATTTTCATTAAAAAAAATAAAAATCCTGAATTAGTTTTTTCATTCCGATTTTTTAAAATTATAGAAAAAAAGTGAAAAATTCAACAACCCACTAGATTTGAAGTGTCCACACCAGAATATGTACGAGGCGAGGTGACCCACATAGACAGTTGTGGAAGGGGATAGTTGCAACTTTGACAAGCAAACATTTTTTTTTTTTTTTGTCTAATTATTTAATTTTGTTATGAAAAATAATTGAGGGAAAATTTTTTATGGTATAATTTTTTTATATAAACTTATATATTTAATTAATTTTTTATTTTATTAAGACATAATATTATATTTATTTATTTTAATGACATAAAAATAATAAATAAAAATTATACAAAATAATTATATAATATCATTGACAAAAAGGGCTTGTCAACCCTTTAACTCTTTGATTGTGGGCAATTTACTCTCGAACTTTTTTTTGGGGGGTGGGGGGTGTTCGGTGGAGATAATCACTCCTTAGAGGCTTAAACTGCTCGATTGCGGCTTAAAGCCCCTTTTTCGTGAGATGATGTCACTCTCCCATCCAATACTGATGCTTGGTGCCCCATCAAATTTAAATGATATAAGAGTAATTTTTCTTGTATTATTTTTTGATATAATTTTATGTATAATTTAAATAATAAAATATTTTATTTATTTAAAATTTATGATATAAAATATATTTACTAATTCAATAATATATATAAATTATATGAAAAAATAATACAAAAAATTATTCCAATATTACCGTTTGTCCACTCATCTAATGAGCTGCACAATTTTCATATGCTGATATGGCGAGAGTGGTATAATTATAATTTTAAGTCTTTGATTTTGATTTTTTTATAAATTTTATAGTTATTGAAAGTTAAAACCAAAATTTAAAATGTAAACACTACTAGAAAACAGAATATAATTGATAAATTTATAATCAACAGTCAATTTTTTATCAATTATACCTGTATAATTGACAAAAAAATTATCGATTATATTATTTTGTCAATTGTATTATTTTGTCAATTATGTACTTTATTTACCCATATAATCGACAAAACTTATAATAAACAGAAAAGCTGTCGATTATATAAGTGTAATCGATAAAAAATTAACTATTGATTATGTATTAAATATAATCGACAATTTTTTTATTGATTATACAAATATAACCAACAAAATTTCTGTCAAATATATTTAATTATATAAGGGCTCCAAAACTAGAACATCTGATTGCCTTCTCCTTTTCATCTTCAGTTATCTCTCTCCTTCTACTTCTCCTTCTACTTCTCCTTCTTTCCCATAGGTAAAATATCCCATTTTTTCTTTCAACTTCTTCTCATTTTAATTTTCGTTTTCCCTTTTTCTTTCATATTTTATATTTTCCCATTTGTGTTTTTTCAAGTATCTTTAGTTTTATTTTATTATTCATTTATACCTATTTCATTATCCTTTTTTGTTGACTATCCATCATCTTCTTTCTCTTCATCCTTCTCATTCAATGCATTTTTTTTAATACATCAACCAATTAATTCAATTTAGTTTGAACTAAGAATTATTATTATTTGATATACTAATAGTTTTTTTTTTTCAGATTTTATTACCTTGATTATGAGGTGAATTTTCCTTTTAAATTTAATTTGTACTTTTTATTTTTTTTATTTTAATAAAATCATAATGTATACCAATGAGTTTTTCTTTTCTTTTCTTTTCTTTTTGGCAGAATTTTTTTTATGGGCTTTTTGGCAGAAAATTGATCTCAAAATAACGTTAGAATTCTCATTTTAATTTAATCTATGTTTATCTATTATTTCTTATATTACTTTTAGCATTATTTCATAAATATATTGATCCCTTAAAATCAATAAAGGAGAGACATAGTTTTTCATTTATTGCATCATTGCGCTCATATCGCTGCATGCTTGGCATATTTAAGACTAAAATATTTTTTATGAGTTTTTTAATTTGTGTGTTTAGGTATAAGTTTAATAAATAATTTATTTATTTTTTATTATTAAATTACATAAAAAGAATAAAGTTTGATTTTAATTTAAATAAATAAATAATTAAATTAAATTATATGACATTAATGTTAAAATTAATATTAATTTTTTCATTTTTTTCATATAAATTGATAATTAAAAAGTATATTAATTATATTTTTAATAAATACTTTAAAGATATGTATTAAAAATTTTCATTAAAAAATAAAAATCCTGAATTAGT